GCGAACCCATCACTTCATCCAAGCACTCGAACAGGCTGCCGGCATACTCGAGCCCAAACGCCGCAAGGCATGGGCGAAGCAGGCGGGCGCCGCGCGGCGCGTGGCCAACGAGTTCGTCAAACCGGGTTGCGGCGGAGGAGGCAGTGGGCGTGACGAGCTGGGGGCCATTGTCGACGTCGCCACGAGAGAGGGGCCGCATGCCGAGGGCGAAGCCACGGAGGGCGGTGAACACGAAGAAGAGCAGCTTCTCTTGATTATGTGGCAATTGGGGAAGCCAGGACGCAGCGATAGTTGCAGGGCCGCCGAGCGCACTCATTCAAGAAACGAGGAAAGCGCGAAGCGCCGCAATCAACGCCAGCGGTTCGGGGGCTGCGACTGCGATCCTGACGCCGCCAGTGCGGGGGTCGGACGAAGAGCTCCAGCATCACCGCCCCGATGGCCACAAGATCCAAGAGCACCGCCTCAACGTGGAGCGCGCCGCGGGTCAGGGGCAGAGGCGCAGGCAGGTTGAGCCGCGCAAGGTCTTGGCACCTGGAGCTGCGGCGCGCGACGGAGTGAGGCGTAGGGCCTCAAGCTGCGGCGCTGGAGTTACCGTCGAGCGGCGGCGCGGGGTGCGCGGGCTTGGCGCGAACGAGGCCACGGGCCCGCGCCATGTGCTGGCCAGCGGTGCTTCTCTGGCACGCGTGGCCGGCCTCGTGCCGGGCGGTTTCATCGCGGGTTTGGTCGACTTGTTGAGAGTGTCTGCCTGGGTTTTCTGCGGGACATCGGCGGGGCGCACTAAAGAAGTCGGGCGCGCCGCAAGCTCCAGGGGGCAACTTGATCGTCGACGCGCGTTCCGACGGAAAGCCGGCCGCTGGATTCGGGCGAGGGGGCGTCGAAAGTGGACTTTTTCATCGTGGGTTTGAGCCTTGCCGACAGGCTCCTAGGCTGCCACGCGGTAGACATGCAGGCCAGTCGCAGGGGCGCGCTTCACCCTAGCGGGGAGGGCGAGGGAGTTCATGGCCTCCTGCCTCAGGGGCCATGCAGCTCCCTCCGGAGGACGCGCCCATGGGGCCCCGGACGGGGCGAATACGGAACACATTCAAAGTCTAGCGCTACCCAGCCAGCCGCGGGCCACCCCCTTTGGAAACTGCGCAGCAGTCGACGCGCGAGCGTCGACGGCGAGCTACTGGGGGCGCGGCAGATCGACGCGGAGTTCGCGCGGCGACACCGCGGGCGGGGGGGCGCACGTCAGTTCGCATGGGGCCCGCCCGCAAGAGCGAGGCCCACCAAGGGGCCCGACGCCAGTTGCAAGCGGACAGGTGCCCGATTTCACGTCGAGGGTCACCGGCTATTTCGCGGCGCTTGTAAGAGCATAGCATGGACAATGGAGTGCGTGCGTGTGAGTGTGTGTGTGTGCGTGTGTGTGCGTATGGGTGTTTGCGTGCGTGCGTGCGTGCGCGTGCGAGATGGGGAAGCCGCTCCGACGGGGGGCCGTGGGCCACAGCTCACCACCGGCGCGCCTTGGACTGGAGGGCAGCATTGCGGATCAGTCTCTTGGCTCATTTGAACGCGGCGGAGGTCCATGACGATGTGGTCTATAGGCTTCTCAGATGTGGTCGGAGTAGATGGAGTCGGAGGATCGCACCGCATCGCCGATGCATCGGCGATGCGTCGCCGATGCGGTTCGATACGGGGCCCGATTTGCTTCGCGCCGACGGCGCCGATGCAACTCCGACGTCGGCGATGCATCGCAGCTGCATCACCGATGCATCGCCGATGCATCGGCGATGCGGCGCGATCTTCCGACCCCATTTATCCCGCTCCCAGCTGGGGGACCTCAAGGGGACCTGGTGCGTGACGTGCGACGTGCGTTTTTCACATTGGGTGGGCCCACTTACAGCCGCGCCAGACATATGCGAACTCGCGGGGAACCCCGGGCTGAGCAGGAGGGGGAGAAACCTTAGATCCTCGACATGCTGGTGGCGTTCGACCAGAACGCGCGGGAGGAGGCGGCCCACCGCGGAGCGCATAGCTGCATGGAAGGCAAGGGATGACCAGACGAGCGGATGCCCCCATCACGGCGTCAGGAGGGTGGGCAGGGTGATCGGGCACCGCGCGACGACCATGAAATTCAGAGCCCGGGGGCGTGCGCTGGCGAGGGTCACGATGGAGCGGCGCATCGAGGAAGCCACGTGCGGGGCGCACGCGCAGCAAGTGTGGGGATGCCCGCCATGGGGGGGGGGGGCGGGGGGGGCGTTCTTCGGGCACTGTTGCAGACGTGGCGCGAGGCGGCGGCGCTGGAGGGCACGCCCGCCATGGCGCGGGGCGGCGGCGCCCTGATGCGGGGCGGAGGGGGCTCTAGGCAGGCTGGCTCTGCAGGCTAAGGGGTTGATGCCTGGGCTGAGCATTGCGAGCGACAGGGCAGATGCCTGGGCTGCCTGCACGCCCTACGCAATGCCCCTCCTGGGCGGGGGCGCAGGTCTCCGAGCTCGAGTCCGTGGACTCATGCGACCTGTAGTCTGGGCGAGGTGCAGGGCGGCGAGGCAACTATGCGTAGAGGCGCCGGGTGGAGGAAAAGCCGCTCGTCAAAGGCGCCTCGCCCCCATCGGCCCCCTTTTTCCGGAGAGGCGCCGAAGAGTAGGGGCGAGCATGAGAGTCTTGCTCAGGGGACTGCGTCGGCATATTCAGACCAGTGCCCCCGCCGTGCCAACGCGACCAGACGCGGAACTCTAGCCCGCCAGCGGCCGTTTGTTTTGTTTTGTTGTATTTTTTCCAGCAGTGAGGCGCAGCGTGTCAAGGTTTTTCGGCCGCGAAAGGGGGTCGCTGGGCCGTCGGGCATCAGTTGGCCTCCAAGGGCGCAGTCTGCGCCGCGGCGCCCGTTGCTTGCGCCGCTGGACAAGTGGATCAACGAGGCGAAGGCAGTGGCGGAAGCGCGCGCAGCGCCGCGTGCAGCCGGGCGCAGCAGAGGCGTCCAGGAGTGGATGGGTGATCCAGTCGGTCGCCGAAGGTGGCGGCGGGGCGCGCTCTGTTTGGCGAGGCCCTCTCGGATGGGCCCCGGGCGACGCGGCGGGCGATGCGCCAGCCAGCGGGCAGCGTGCCGAGCACGGGCCATCGCGGACAATTTCTGGCGCACGAGAGAGCCCAGCGGGCACGGCGAGATGGCAGCAGGCTTCGGCCGGCAGCGGCGATCCACAACGGAACGGCCGTTCCGAGGCCAACAATGGCGGACGCGAGGAGGGCGGCCCAGACTTCCGCTACGAGTTGGGGGGGGCAGCGGCCGCGCCAACCCGAGGCAAGTCGCTTGGTTGGGCGACAATATGCTGGAGGCGCTGACCGACTTCGGCATGCTTTGCGGCTGCGTGGTCCCTCATGGGGGCCTCAGGGAGTTCCGATTATTTGTGGTTGTGCGTTGTCGGGAAGCTGTCGTCGCAGTTGGTCGATTTCCGGGCGACGTTTGGACGCTTTCTGGACGATCTCGGGAAGAGGCCTCGACGACGGCGAAGCCGGGCGGCCGAAATCAGCGTGCAATTTTGTCGAAATTGCGTTGATGTTCGGGCCGTGGAGGTTCGCCGAGGCCCGCGCAAAGGCTTACCCGAGTGCGAGGACATGGCAGTCTGGCCTGGTGTGATCACGGACTCCCTGGTGGTCATGACACCCAAGCCACAAGCAGGCATCAGGCCTACAGGGCTGCTTGGGTGGCACCCCCGCCCGCAGAGCCGCGTGCGACAATCTGCGGCGAGGAGGCGGGGCGAGAGCTTCGACGCGGGCTCAGCGGGCAGCCGTTCGGGAGGCAGGGTCGGTCAGCGGAGGAGGCGGCGCGGTGGCAAGCCCTGCGACCCGAGCCGAGTAGTCGCAGAGGAGGAGAGGAGGCCACGGCCATGTCCATCGACCTGTGGAAAGCATGCGAATTCGTCGGCCTCGCCATCGTCCAGCAGTGGGGCGTCCGAGGGCGATTTCACGTCTGCGCGAATGAGAGGCGCATCGTGCTGGACGGGGAGGTTCGCACGGGTTGGGTTGCACCTGGGCGCGGGCCTCGTCGCGGGCCGTGGGCACGCGGGCCGCTTGCTCAAGTGCGGCTTATCGACGGTGGGGGTTGAGCACGCGCGAGTGCGAAGTGTGCTTCAGCCAAGGGTCAACTTGGCCATCCGCGCCAGTTACACGTTTCCAAAAGCCCCAGTGGCAGGGTTCGCACGGCGACTCCGCGTCCATTTTGGCACCCCCCGCACACGCTTCGTGGCCCCATTGGGAGCTCAACCGAAGGCCCCAGCGGGAGGGTGCGCATGACGCCCCCGCGCCCATGTCGGCAGACCTCTCGTACGTTTCGTGGCCCCATACCGAGCTTCACCGAAGGCGACAGCAGCACCGCGCCCATACTGGCGCATCCCTTGCACTTTTCGTGGCGCCGTAGTGGGTTCGACCGAAGACCCCAGTGGCAGGGCTCGCACGGCGCAGCCGCGTCCATTTCGGCCCCCCCTCCCCACGTTTGGCGGTCCCCGTGGGAAATTGGTTGGAAGGCCCCAGTGGCAGCGTCCGCGTGGCGGCACCGCACCCCTCCCGGCAAACCACTCGCACTCATCGTGGCCTCGCGACACTCGCCGCTTCACATGGACGGGGCCCACCGCCAGGCTATGCTCACTCCGCGGCCCTCGGCTCGCGCCCCCTGCTCTGGGGGGCAGCTTGTCGCGCCCCGGGTCCCCTCTCTTGCTGGTCCTGGGGCCCGATGGCGGGCCGTAGAGGCCGAGAGTGAACAAAATGAGGGGACCAAAAAGTGGCATAAACATAAAAACTCGGAGGTCCGCGCGGATTGTTCGGATCTCGGATTTCTCGGATCGCGGCGCCTCCGGCGCCGCCAGGGGGCTCCAGCGCCGATCCGAGAAGTCCGCGCGGACCTCCGAGTTCTTATGTTTATGCCACTTCTTGTTCCCCTAGAACTCGTGCCGCCTCCGATTTTTGGGGGCCGTCGCCGCCGGCGGCCTCGGCGCCGTCGTCGGCCGCGGCGCGCGGCCGCCCGCGCGCAGGCCGCGGAGCTCGCCCGGCGGGTGCAGTCCCTGAGCCGGCGCGCGCAGACGCCGGCCCCCAGCGCGATGGTGAGGCAGGCGAGCGAGTCTCGGGGGCAACGTTTGGGGGGGCGCCCGGCTCAGGGGGGAGGCGATGCTTTAAGTCGGGCATGTCTTCCTCCAGGAGGCAAAGTCCTGTGTATATATATATATATAGATATATCGATATATATATATATATACATATATATATGTATATATATGTATATACATATACATATTTATGTATATACGTAGATGTATAAATATGTATGTATACATATGTGTATATGCATGTATGTATACATCGTGTGGGGACAATTTTTCGAATACCTCTCCTTGTGTTTGAGCATTCGGGGGCGATGCTTTCATAGGGGAACAAAAAGTGACATGAGCATAAAACCTCGGAGGTCCGCGCGGATTTTTCTGGGATCGGCGCTGGGTCCCCCTGGCGGCGCCTCCGGCGCCGCCCCTGGGGCGCTCCGCGCGCCAGGGAGGGGGCGCCGATCCGAGAAATCCGCGCGGAGCTCCGAGTTGTTATGCTTATGTCACTTGTTGTTCTCCTATTTAAGTCGGGCATGTTTTCCTCCAGGAGGAAAAGTCATGTGTATAATTACATATACATATACATATACATATATATATATATGTGTGTGCGTGTATATACACAGAAATCGTGTGGGGGCATTTTTCGAATACCTCTCCTTATGTTTGAGCATTCGAGGATTCTGTTTCATCCTTCCTCCAACATGCGCCTGTAGGAGGACACCTCTGGCCCAAACGATGTTTCGGGGTTCGAGCTCTTCGGACGTTTCTGCCAGTCCTCGGCGATCTTGCAGCCTCGGGCTCTGCTCTCCAGCAGCCTGCATATCTCGCCTCCAGAGGCGCCCTGGGGTGCCCGGCCCCAAAGGGCTTGAGGCATGGCCCGAAAGTTACCATCAAGTCGGGCCTGTCCATCTACAGGAGAAATATTCAAGGATATTTAGAACATAGTATTGGGACGATTTGATTCAAATCATTGTTTGACTGTTGGTGAATATGTGTTGCTTATGTTTTAGTTTTCATCCCAAATCCGCCTGTAGGAGGACATGTCGAACCCATAGGTCTGACCCGACAACTGCCACGGGATAGGCTCCGGTGGGAGCGCATCGACCCCCTCTCGCCCACTCGTCGCCGATGGTCGACGGAGAATTGGCCCCACAAGCAGAAACTTGTTGCGCTCCGCGCGGAGTTCTTGGATCCCGCTCTGGGGCCCCCCTGGCGGCGCCGTCGGCGCCGCCCCTGGCGCGCTCCGCGCGCCAGTTTATGTTTATGGTGTTTTCTGTTCTTCCGGATGGGGGGTCCGATGTCCCACCTCGCCCAGAAGCGTGCGGATTGGCCATCGGGGCCTGATCGCCGATCGGTCGGCGACGTATCGCCGATTCCACGTGGATCCTTCCACCCCTGAGCTGGTCCCCCTTATCCTTGCCCCTTCAGAACAGGGGATGAGTCCCATGCTTCTGTATGTCGCATGTTCGGGGGATGGTTGTCTGTCCTCCAAGTGTCCGAGGCGAGGGTTTGTCCATAACCACCGCCTGGGTTATCGGTCTTCGGGTACTTCGGCCGGCGGTGGTTATGGATAAATCCTCGCCTGGCACCGTGGCGAACTCGGGTGTGACGTGGATTCGATGCAGATTCGACTCAGATTCGAGGCGGATGTGACGCAGCTTTGATGTATGGCATGTATTTCACGCGGATTCGACGCGGCTACGGCAGGTTCGCGTCGTGTCGACCGGCGGCGATCCCGCCGCCGGCATTGAACGTTGAACGCCGTTGGCGACCAAGAGTCGGACGTTGTTGAACGATATCACGTTGCGGAAACAGTTGATCGTTCAAGAAGGAACGATCCCCGCGGTATCGGGCGACGAGTGTTCCACATATCCACGGAACCTGGCCAGGTCCATCCTGGGCCGCAGGAGCGGTGCAGACAGTCGGGGCGCTGAAGAAGAAACCCTGTTCGTTTGGGAGGGGCGCAGTGTTCCTTCGTTGTTTTACAGTTCGCCTTTGGTGTTCCTTTGTGATGTTCGATGGGGAATCGACATTTCTTTCGCTTATGAAACAAAGAAGCCTCGGTCCTTACCTAGGGTTCCTTGGGTCAAAGCCCCGACTGCATCCACGGACCCTGGCCAGGCCCATCCTGTGCCCTGGAGCTGTGTATATGTCTGCCTGGCCAAGCCCGGAGGGCGTACACACCGCTTCTGGGCCCAGGAGGGGCCAGGGCCAGGAGCAGTGGCTGTGCTTACAGAGTCCGCCGCCCTTCAGATCAGGGGGGGGCATAAGCACACAAACGCAATGAATAGCCGACTACCAGGAAAACATGGGAACATGATCATTGGAAGGGGTGGCGAAGACGAAGACCCACAAGATATTGGAAACTATGTGGGGATTCCTGGGATTTGTGTTAAGTCGGGCCTGTCCCTCTTCAGGAGGAATATTCAAAAATAGTTTAAAAATAGTCTGGGGTGATTTTTGACCAGATTGAAGTATTTGTGCTATGTGTTTTGGGGACTTTCAGTTCTTCGTCCGAAATCCGCCTGCAGGGGACACGCCCGACCTAAGACTTGTGTGCATTTATGTGTGTGTGTCCCTGGGCGCACTGAGCGGCGCCGGAAGCCGACGCCGAGAGACGGCGGCACGACGCGAGCCTCCGCCGCAGCGGCGCGAGGGGGGGACAGACGGAGGCCATCCCCGCGAGGAAGCAGCGCCGAGCGCTCTGCTGGCCGCCGCCGGTCGGTGGCCTCTGCTCGCGCGCGCCCTGCGGGCCGTGGGCGGCGGGCGGTGCGCCCAGACCCCCCCCTGGCGCTGTGCAAGAATCCCGACGGGAGGTTTCGCATTATGTCGAAGAATGAGTATGTCCACTTCGCCCATCCAGGAGCCCAATTTCGTCAGGACTGCGCCTTTCCTTCCTAATGAGCCACTATACGATTCCTATATGTTTCAATCCCGATGATTCTTTGTCATCGAATGGTTTTTGGCTTGGTTTTTTCATTTGCGAATGGCACGTTCTTCGCAGTCGAATGGTTTTTGGCTTGGTTTTTTTCATTTGCGACCGACAATCGCAGAAAAAACGTTAAGGGCAGAAAAAACGCCCCTACCCTGGCTCACGATGCGCCGTGCGCCGAAACTCCTGTGGGCTGCCAGGGTGAACATCTGCGTGGTGTGCCGCGTCCTGTGGCGGCTCTAGGCCTTGGGGGGTTCCCAGGAGGGTTGACAGACCGCGCACTTGTAAGCCAGGGCGGGGTCGGCTTTTCATTCCTCAGAAGAGCGCCACGAGCGCAGACTTCTGGCACTCCGCGCGGATTTCTCGGACCCGCGCGGGGTCCCCCCCCGTGCGGCGCCGCCCCTGGTGCCGCCCCTGGCGCGCGCCGCGCGCCGCGCGCCGGGGAGGGGGGCGTCCCGCGCAGAGGCCAAGAGATCCGCGGAGCGCCAAGAGTAACCCCAGGAAGCATTTAAGAAACCCCCTGGCGATATCGTAGCACCGCATTTTTTATTCGATATTCCGAAGGGCCGGAATAACCGAACGATAGCTGTAGCACCCGGACACGATGATGATGATGATGATGATGATGATGATGATGATGATGATGCTGATGCTGATGTTGATGCTGATGCTGATGATGATGATGATGATGATGATGCTGATGCTGATGCTGATGCTGATGCTGATGCTGATGCTGATGCTGATGCTGATGCTGATGCTGATGCTGATGCTGATGCTGATGCTGATGCTGATGATGATGATGATGATGATGATGATGATGATGATGATGATGATGATGATGCGGATATGGATGATGGTGCGGAAAGGGTTATCGATTTGCCGGAGGGGGGGGTTCTTAAATGCTTCCTGGGGTTGATGTCTGTGGCGTTTACTCTTCTGCGGGCAGTACTGATATCCATATCCAGAGCGTCTTGGGCTTTTCGGGAAGAGGTGCCGCAACGCCGAGGCGCACTGGATATGGATAGAATCAAGCCGCTCGGAGCCAGTGTTTCATCCAAATCCAGTGCGTCTACGGCTTCTGGGGAAGAGAGCCCAAGACTCCAAGACGCACTGGATGTGGATATGACTATGGCCCGCATCTTCTTCTACGATTCTCGGCCTCCGGGAGCCCTCGCCGGGCCTCGGAGGCCACCTCGCGCCGTGAGCAAACACACGACGGTAATGCCAAGCCGGAGACAAGCATCACGACGTCGGCAGCGCCGGGCCGTGCGGGGGGGGGGGCGGGCCCCCTGGCGGGGAGGAGGAGAAGGAAAAGGAGGAGGAGGAGGAGGAGGAGGAGGAGGAGGCGGGGAGGGGGTCTGGCGCCGGCAGCGCGGGGCCGTGTGCGGAGGCGGCAGCTGATGCTTCCTTGTCTTGGTAGCTGCCTTCGAAGGAAGAGCGGCACGACCAGAACTTCTCGGAGCTCCGCGCAGATGTTGTTGGGTCGGCCAGTCGCAGAAAGGGGGGCAGGGGGAGGGTGGGAGGCTTCTCAGAAGCGCCCCTGCTTCTCAGAAGACACGAGCCTTATCTGCAGATGCAAGGCCCGCACCTTCCCAAGTAGGCTCCTTCAAAGAAGCCTTCCCCCCTCCCCCTACTTACCAGCCTCGCACGTATCCCGTATCCCTGTCCCTAAGATTGAACACACCAAAGGGCGATGACAACAATCTCAGGGATCCGCCCTCAAAAGATAAGAGAATCCCGAAGCTAGATTGGCATCGTGATGAGGAGGTGCCCAGCATAGGGATAGGGATATGTTCCAGGCTGGTACTCCAGATCTCGTAATAAAAGGGAGGGGGTCTGGACCCTCCAAGACGAGCCATTTCAGACCCCCCCCCCCGTGGGAGAACCCTCCAAAACATCGTCCCCAGACCCCCCCAGGCCCTCCAAGATAGCCTGGAAGAGACCCCCCCCGAAATGAGACCCCCCTCCCTTTATTACGAAATCTGGAGTAACCTGCCCCCTTGCGCGCGCCGCCAGCCTGGGTCGGCACGGGGACCCCCCCCGGCGGCGCCTCTGGCGCCGCGCCAAGCGGGGCCCACGCGCCAGGGAGGGGGGGTCCAGCGCAGATCTCGTGGGCGGAAAAGAGGGGGGTGATGACTAGGGGGGGGTGGATATCATGGCGGGGGCCATGATATTTCCCCAGATTTCATGGCGCCCCCTCTTATTTCATCGTGTCCCCGGCCCCCACGCTGGGCCGCGCACATGCCGCCCGTCATGATCTTCACCCCCCCCTCTTGGACACCCCCCTCTTTGCCGCCCCCGAAGATCCAAGCAACCCGCGCAGACGATCGACACTTTATAATTTATGCTTGTTCAGTGTTTCTGCAATCCTGACATGCATTGGCCGACGAGTCTTCGGTCCCGGCATCGCGCGGACTTGTGCATATTTTTTCTCGGCGAGGACCCTGGAGGAGAGCATCCTGGATCGTCGGGCAAACAAAAACCCGCACGAAGCCGAAAAAAAGCACAGGGAATGGACGTCCGAGCGATGGCAAGCGGTGAGGCCTTCGGGGCCTTGCTTTTGTTCCCCCGTGCCCTGCAGCACGGCCCACTGGCTCGAGTCCGGTGGTGCCGGCTGCTCTGCACTGGTCTGGGTGTCCCCTCCTGACGTCGTGGCCAGTACAGTGGGGGCGTGTGCCAAGAAACCAGTTGGATTTTGCCAGGGTGCCCAGGGTTTCTTGGATTTCTATGTGCCCCCAATAAGATCTGGACGACTATCGATCGACAAATTTGGGTTTTCAACGGACAAATCGTGGATTTCAGGGCTGGGTTTCTTGCGGAGGTTTCTTGTGGCCGAGCCCCCACTGTAGACATCGGGGGTGCACAGACCTCCTACCCTGACACGTCGATTAAGGGATCGGCCGTTTTCGGGTCGCGAGAGGGCGTCGGCGGCCGTCACTTTTGTGGGTCCAGGTCCGTCGGTTTCGGCCCCAGGCCGTTTTCACTGAGGGGAGGTCTGCTAAAGGGAGGTTTGTCCACCGCCGAAGACAGCCCGACTTCCCAGCGGCCGTTTTTCCGCAGAGCGTGCGCCATGCACAGCGGCGCGCAGAAGAGACCAGGGCGTGGAGGCGAGGCCAGCCTTCTGAGACTGCAGAGAGACACCTTACAGTCGGGCTTGGATGGCAGGTCGAACCTGCGAATCAGGTTCCTTTGTGTCCTGTGTTTCGCGACGCATACCTTCTACATTCCTATGGCAGTGTTGCCCTCGGAAGGGTGATGTGTCCTCTCGCGTGTCTTCCCTAATCACACTCGACTGCAGGAGCTCCAAGACCATCGCCTCGTCCCGCCCCAAGGCCCAACTCCGTTCAGGACCAGTCTCTGTGATTCTTCATCCCAGGCTCCATGCCCTCACCTCGACCCCCCTCTGCGCGCCGCGAGCTATGTACTGTATTTCTGCGTCGCTTTGCATCGCGCACTCGTCGCTCCCAGATGGGGACTCTTGAGGGCACACGGCCGAATGTAAGCTTTCATCAGCATCCTCCCTCCTCGTCTCTCCCTCTTCTCGTTTCACTCCATATTATCCCATCTTCTCCCCCCAATCCCTCGTGTAGCCTCCGCCCCATATCTGCCTTGTAGGCTACTCCCCCCCTTCGTACCACCAGACCTGACGACTGGGCGGGTCGGGCGTGCGGCTTCGCACGTTCGCACAGCGTCGCTCCCCTTCGCACCACCAGACGTGACCAGTGGGCAGGCTGGGCGTGTGGCTTCACACGTCCGCACAGCGTCGTGCCTGAAAGCTTGGAGTTCCCATCAGACACGGGTGGATGGCGAGCTGTTTCCAAAATGCGGTTCCCGTTGCTGCGACGTGCGCATGCGTCTCAAGAGTTGCAACAGTCACATACACAGATAGAGGGCTGCACTTGTTGCTCAATTTGTTGAAGCTTCGCGTAGCGATGTTTTGGCTAGAGGCAGTGTAGGACAGGCGATGGTAAAAAGCAGGAGGGGAGCTGCCATAGCACCGCACGTTCCTACTTCGCGCATCTCTGGTAAGCTGAAAGGCCTTCCGTAGGGACGCCGCGAAGGCCCATGGTTGATCCCTGACTCCTTGACAGCAGGGGGAGTTGCGAGGAAGCCAGGAGTCAAGCAAAAAGCCCAACAAGCAGTGCTTCATCGGTGGCTGGTGGCTCACGGTGCCTGGGCATCTGCGCCCTATCGCTGTTTTGTTGTACTGCTGTGGCTGTCTGCGGATGACTGCCGAGGGCTTGGCGATGCGATGTTAGATTCGTTTCCGAATTATCGCTCTTGTTTTGGTGCACCACTGGTGACGACGCTCGATGGGTTCGAAATGCTCGTCGGTGCCCTGGCGCTCCACTGAGGGTGCCCTGTGCTGTTCCCTATCCTCTGCGGCTTCCTGGCCTCGCCTTCCCTCCTGCGTTCCCTTGGGTGCACCCTGGCCAGGGCGGTGGTCATCGCCAGGTCGTGCTGCAGTGCTGGCGCCTTGGTTCGCGCAGTGGCGCCGGATGGCCAGCGTGGCATCGAGCACGTCCCGCTTCTGGAGGAATATTTAAGCATAGTCCAAAAATAGTCTGGGAACGATTTCTCGCTTTTGCTGCTCAAGAAAAAAAGCATGTCTTCAAGGTTTGTTTACTTATGTTGTGTTTCTTTCCACATCCGCCTGTGGGAGGACATGCCCGACCTACCAGTAGTGCCCCAGCGGTGCCGCCTTGGGTCGCGCATTGGCGCCCGATGGCCAGCGTTCCACGGCAGGTTCGCGTCGTGTCGACCGGCCGCGACCCCCGCCGCCGGCGTTCAGCGTTGAGCGCCGCCAGCGACCAAAAATCTAACGTTGTTGAAGGATCGGATGTTTTAGAAACGGCCGATCGTTCAAGATTGAACGATCCCCGCGGTGTCAGGGGGTCGACGTGACACGAACCCGCGGTACATGGGCCGTAGCATACCTTAACGATTACACACGGTGTGTTCGTTTTCGTGTTTTGGGGCCTTACGGTTGGTGTTCTAAAGCTAGTGCCTCTTGGTGGTTGAGTTGTTGCCATTTGCTCTTGCAATGGTGCCGTGCGGGTGTTAGTAGATGAGTGGTGCCTTCTGATCTCCTAGCGGTTGCGGGTGTATCGTTTCTGGTATTGTGCCCAATGGGTGGGCCCCATGGATAGTGCCGTGTACTGTTCTCAAAGATTTGTTTGTTTTACAGTGGTGCATCATGACTGTCCCCATAGTGCCTCAAAGGTTGTCAGAGTCGAGCCGGGCCCGCCGCAAAGCCACCGCTCTGCTCGCAATCCTTGCTCCCGAAGGCGGCCGCCTCCACGTGGCCAACTCGGAGATTGACGGCCTTCTGCCTCGCACGCACGTCCAGGAACCCGTTCGGGAAGCCAAGCAAGTCGAGATCGTACAGGTCCGATGTGTTCTCCCACTGGGTGCACGCCAGGACTAGGCGTTTAAAAGTTTTTTTCTCCACCGCCTCCCGCCCGGGCGGCAAGTCGTCCACTTGCACCAAGAAGCTGACGGCGGATGCGATGCACACTGAGTAGGCCACCGCCGTCGCACGCAATCCACCGCCTGCAGAGCCCCAGGATGTTGCGCGGCCAAGGCATTTTGCAACAGGCTGTTCAAGTTTTTTGTGGCCGCGGCCCAGCCCGAGCATGAAGCCGAGATACTTGGCGTGGTCGGAAGCCTGCGTGCCCCCCCAGCCGTGCAGTCGCGTCAGCACGTCCCAGAGAATGCAGTCGTGGTCTCTTCGGAACATCGGGACCAAAATTGTCTTGGGCAGAGCCAAGTGCAGCCTCGACGCCTGTCCGAAGGACGGACAAACTCGCAAAACGGGGGTCGTTTCGTCGATGTCTTCTGCGACCGTGGTCACGTCTTCCGTGGAGGCTCCTGTGGTCAGGTAAGGCAGCTCCCCCCACATTCGGCGGAGCAACACCGCCACCGCGAAGAGGGTGGGCGACTGCGGGCATTTGTGTCGAATGCGAGCGTGCGACGTGAAGCCGTCGTTGTCGACGCCCCCGGCTAACATGGAGCAGCGGCTGTGCCAGTACAGGTGTTCCACGAACTTGGTCAACCACGGCGGCAGGCTCGCCGCTCGCAGGGCCCGGAGGAGGAACTGGTGCGCCACGTTCGGCAAGGCAGCTTGGAAGTCGAAGAGCCAGGCGGGCCCCCTGGTCACGCTGTAGTACCACGTGGCACACGGCCTCATCAATGCCCACTGTGTGGGCCAGAATGGATTTGCCTGGCACGAGCCCCCGCTGGTCGAAGCTGATCCCCTGTGCAAGCGGT